ATTGTTATTCATTCATTTGCTTAAGATTGTGTACATCGGCTTCTTGCATATAACAATGAGATATTGATCAGTTATGTAACAAACTAACTGTCTCTGTTTCTAACTATAACTACTTTCTAACATCATCCAATTAACTGATTACAACTACAAGAATAGACAATTGCCTCTTCCTTAACACAAGCATTGTCCTCAAGGCTGGAAATGAGAAACTGGTTACTGGTAAAAGAAGGTCTTCCCAAGAGGCATTACTAGCATCAACGTGATACCATTTTACGACATATTTAATCAGTAGCTGAGAATCTCGGTGGATTACCGTCATTTAAAGAATTGATTTGGGTTCCATTATGGATTGATCTTAAGTACCATATTAAGGGGAAGTAGCAGAAAATTTTTTCCCAAATCAACATTTTTTTGGGAAGTAAAACATGAAATGATAGATGTAATAAATCTCCTACATGCAACTTAAGTTTACATGCCACTGGCTTTACTTTCTCCAAAACTTCAAGAAGTCCATAATACTTTTTTGACAACTTTAGATTCTTCCGGATTGATACTGATTGTTGCTAAAAAGGCTACATTTTGAGAAACACCACATCTCCAATTGTAAATGATCTTTCTATCCTATGTTTATCAACAAAGAATTTCGTTCTCTGTCTAGCTTTTGAGAGCTGCTCTTTAATACTATGTATTATCCTTGTTCTCTCCTGCATTATATCAGTTGCGGTAGGTATGATTGAATCCTCATAAGGTCCTAAGGGCAAATAGGATGGAACATACCCATATAGGGCAACTTTTCTATGAAATCCATAGTCAAATGTTCCGAAACTTTTTCGAGAACCGGCATTAGTTTCAACAACCTTGGATATGGTACATGCTCTTCTTTATATCTTTGACAAGTATCACCGTAAATAACTAGATTGTCTCATGCCTTCGGAGTGAAATACTGATTTAGCTTATGTAAAGTATTTCAAGAGTAACCAACTTCCTTTAGAGGAGTTGGCCACCACATTAATTGTGGAGTGGGGGGTCAAGGGTTCAAACCTTGCCTCCCATCAATGTGCCTCAATATAAGGTTTGTTCTAAATCCATATGGGTGTGTGGTGCACCCGTCTGGTCTGATGGTGGTTCAGTCCCCATCAGATTCCCCCGGCTCACTTGGGGAACCTCCAAGTGAAGAGTATTTCAAGAGTATCCTCCAATAAAAGAAGAATATACAACTCGTCCATCTAAACTTCATAGAAGTGACTGCAAATAATGAATTTTCTTGCATTTCCTCTGATTCTGTTAGCATTTTTTCTGGACAAAGAATTTGTAGCTTTATTCTCATATCTCTTTTTAACCACTTGTATTTCGTAATCCAAGCCCAGTAATTTTGTCAACAAATTGTGTTGCAGGGGAGTAGTTTAACTTTTGTTCCCGCAAAAATTTCAGAGACTAGTAATTAGTCTTAATATGGAAATGGTTACCTACTAAGTAGTATCTCCACTTTGTAGCAGCTAACACCACGGCCAGCAATTCCTTCTCTTACACGGATAATGCTAGATTCTTGATAGGCAAGCCTACGCTAAGGTAAGCAATAGGTTAAGATTCCTGTTGCAACACTGCCCTTATATTATTGCTAGCATCATTTTCAACAACAAATGTTTTATTGAAGTCAGCCAACCTCAGAATTTTCTCACAGGCCTGTTGTGCAGTTTCATTCCTTATAAAACTATCCTCCTTTTTAGCTTAAAAAAACTATTCTTTTGTAACTGATCAGTCAATGGTTTACAAATTGATCCATGATGCTTAAGAATCTTCTGTAGTAGCCTGTGAGGCCCAGAAATCCTCTTTAAGGACTTAACAGAATGAAGTATAGGGCAATTAATAACATCCTCTATTTTTATCTCATTCATACTCGCCCCTTTTGCTGAGATAATATGTCCCAAATATTTAATTTATGTTTGAGCAAAATAGCACTTACTTTGCTTTGCATACAATGATTATCTTGTAAAACTTTCAGACAATGTCCAAATATTCTAGACGTTGTTGCAGTGTAGAACTAGAACATCGTCAAAGAATATCAAAACAAATGTTCATAGATAAGACTCAAAACTTGATTCATTAATGAATGAAAAGTGGCTGGAGCATTGGTCAAACTAAAAGGCATAACCAAAAAATCATAATATCCTTCATGAGTTTGAAATGTAGTTTTATGAATATCTTGAGGCTTGACTATTGGCTGGTGGTATCCTGTTCTAAAATCCAGCATTATTAAAAACTTAGCTCCACATAATTCATTCAGTACTTCTTTTATTTGGAATAGGATACTCATCTTTGATAGTTAATTGATTTAGTATCTGTAATCCACACAAAAGCGCTACGATCCATCTTTCTTCTTTAACTTGTAACGCAAGAGATGCAAAAGGACTGTTGCTATACCTGATAATTCATCTAGCAAGCATCCCTATTACTTGCTCTTTTTTTATTATTTTTTCTGATTTTTGAGAGTGAGGATACCTGTATGGTTTAATGTGCTTCTGACTTCAAAGCAATAGCGTGCCCCAAACTATTCTTAGGTAAAAATCCTTTAAATTGATTGATTTATGGAACCAATTCCACAGGGTGATCCTCCTGATGATGTTTTTCTTCCTGCTGCATAGCATAACAACCTTTTTTGTACTGAATGAATTCTCTTATTAAATTCGTCTCAGCCCTTGTAATATAATTTTTCTTAATTCACCGTAGAGAATTATATTGAGCGTTTGACAGTCAAAAGCGATAGGACTATAATAAGTCATTGAGTCCACACTCAATATAACATCCCAACCGACCAACTCCGCAATCCTCATATCAAAGCTAAATCTATAGTGATTAGTAGACCATAATATTTTAGGACATTTAACATAGCCTGTGACACTGGATCTATCATAGTCAATGTGTTGGTTACTACTAGAGGTGCCGGTCACAATTCAATTACATTGACCTGCCCACTAATAAGTAGACTTGGGTATGCAATGAATTTTGAATGAATCTAAATAAATTTTTATTCGACTCACTTATTGATATCAATTTAAAATTAATTATACATTTAAACTCAATTTTTAATGGATGTTAAGCAGATAAATTTGAATTTTCTACCAGTCTAATAATAATAAAATGTCATTATTTCTTATCAAACAACATGCAAAAAAATAAATAAATAATAAAATTTTAAATGAGTCATAAATAGGTAATTGAGTATAACCATACTCATTTATTAAATGGTTATAGTGGGTGACTCATTTTGACATATTTATTAAATAGATGTAAATTAGTTGACTCAATTACATCCATTATTCAATTATGACTTGCCCAAATTCGTCCGACTCATTCATTTTGATACATTTAGTTATTACATATATAAGATAGTTCAAGTCCTCTTACCAAATGATGACTGATACAGGAATCCGAACTGCCCATGTCCACTAGAATATGAAATGGAATTCCACCAATGTCCTCCTGCAATGTGATGGTTTTTCTTCTCAAATCCTCAGATAAAGCATGTAATGACAATTCTATCTACTCGCCAGGATTTCCTGTCTTTTCATCTTGTTCGCCCAAGGTGTCCACGAATTCGGCATCCTCATCTACTTAAGAAAGCATAAGATTTAGATATTTCTACTTTACACTGGTGCCCTATTCCATATTTTTCTCCACACTTGAAAATGGGCCATAATTTTTTTTATGAATTGGATTCCTTGTGAGAAAATTTTCTTGGTCATCTTTGATGCGTCGCTCGCATCCTTGAAGGCTTTAGGAATAGGAATCTTATAGGAATGCTCTAGGACCTTGATTTCTGAATTATCCAAACTTTTATCTATGGAGTTTTACTGTTACCCTTCAAATTCTTGCTTTATACTTTGAGTGACTATTCTTGTAATTGGACCCTGAAATGTTTAGCTTCTCAATTTGCAACTTCTTAAGCATACATTTAATTTCATCCTTTAAACCACCAATGAAACTCGAAACAAAAATGAGTTGAGAATTTCTTATTAGTGTGAGCGCTTGGAGGTCTTCAAATTTCTCCTAATAATACTCCAAACTGCTCTTCTACTGCAATTTGTTGAATTCTTCCACCACATCCTAGATTCTTTTTTCTGCAAAATCTCTTAAACAGTAGATCACAAAATTCCGACCACGATATATTTCCTTTCTCCATCTTAAGCCCTTGATTCCGATACATTTATATTAGGGTAAAGTGCACTAGAGCCCACTAAACTTTTAAAGATTCTCATTGAAACCATAAAACTTTTTTTTTTTGCGTCAACCTGCCGACTAAACAATTGGATTCTGTCAAATTGTCTGGTTAAGTTAGACAGAATTGTAGTCAAGTGAGAGTCAAGTGTACTTTATAGGGACAAAAAAGATATTTCGTCTCACTCATCCCCACAATAGACTAAAACCCTTATTTGTATTAGATGAACTTATTTCTCATTCAAATCGACTCCCACTAAATTCCTCTTCAAACTTCAGATAATCAAACCTAGAAGTCCCAATTTCAAACCATAAAAGAGTTTTATCGAGTTTCCCATCTAAATCTCTGCAAAATATGGAAAATGTCTTGGGTGATTAGAGAGAAAAGAAAAAAGGTTGACAATAGAGCTATGAAATGTGCCTATTAAGAATCTTGTTTGCTTGTAAACAATAGGACCATTTTGTGACGAATTGTAGATGCAACTGATATGCATCTTTTATTTGATTTTAGTGTTTTAACTTTTTAATAGTCTAGTGGGGTTTGTCTTGCACCGGGAAGACAAAGGGACCACTTGTTTTTTTTTGTTTTTTTTTTTCTAATGTTACCAAATACTAGTTGATATGGAAAGTTGTAAACGGGTATATGTATATTGCAATTTGTAAATTGTATTACTGCTATAGACAACTTATATGTGTATATTGCATTATTTCCTTATGCAGTTATTGAGGATGATAATTTTAGTATAAAATTGCATCATGGTGATCACTTTCGTTGTGGAAAAAAAATGGCTTATGTAGGTGGGAAGATTGATTATGTTGACCAGTGTGATATTGATAAGATGTCAGTGGAAGAAATAGGAGAAATGCTTAAGGATTTGGCTCACAGGGAAACGTTTTTCTACTACTATCTAGAACCCGGAAGGGATTTAAATACAGGTTTGAAAGAACTGAGGGGGGGCCGTGATGTGAGCTTGTTTTGTAAGTATGTAATGACACATAAGTTGATGGAAATTTACTGTGATTCTAATTCCCCGGTTGTACAAAACTATAACTCAGAGTCTAATAGATCACATGAACAGGATGGATGCTTGATAGACTTATTGGACAGGACTGGAGGAATTGTTAGGGAGAATAATGTTGTGGTTAAGAATGATCCCAAACAAAGTAAAAAAGAGACTGTTAGAGAAAATGAACAGATTAACACTAGAGAGTTGCATGGGGAGGCAACAATTGTTGGAAAATTTGGTCAAAAGGAGCAAGGTCAAAGGTAGTTATAAGAATGTAGAAGATAATGCAAGCACAGGTGACAATAATTATGATGGTGCTACGTTTGCTAATTATGGTGAATATGGCTATGATGATTACCTTTTTGATGTATTTGTGGAAGATCAATCCATAAATGAAAGTCTAGATAATCAAGAGACAAATGTGGGGAAAAAGAAAAGGAATGGAGATAGTGAAAATGGTGGAGATGTTGGAGAAGGGGAATTCTTGAGTCTGTTTGATGAGGATAATATTAGTGAGGGCTTGAATAGCTATATTGGTTCCTCGGATGATGATGAAAATAATCCACATGTAGATGTTACATATACAGATTATAAACCTGACAATGAATGCAAAGACCTAGAACTCAAGGTGAGGGCAAAGATTTACAGATGCACCTGAATTTAAGCTGCAGTGAAAAACTATTCTATTTGCACCGGGAAGCCTATTAGCTTATACAAAAATGAGCATAAGAAACTAAGGGCAAAGATTTACAGATGCACCTGAATTTAAGCTGCAGTGAAAAACTATTCTATTTGCACCGGAAGCCTATTAGCTTATACAAAAATGAGCATAAGAAACTAAGGGCAAAGTGTGGAATCCGCGTAAGTGGTTTTTATATGTTGCTATTCAAAAGTCTGTGGGTTCTACAGATCTAGTTGTGAAGAGGATGAAGCTCGAACATTCTGCTGCGCGCATGTATGAAAAAATAACTGGATGAGTGCAGATTGGGTGGCTAACAGGTATGTGGATAGAATAAAGAGTAACCCAAAGATGCCCCTTGGTGCATTGAGGCAAATAACTGATGAAGAATATCATGCTAAAATTACCGAGTCCAAGGCATATAGAGCTAGGGTAAAAGCATCACAATTGATACAGGGGTCCTTTGACAAGCAATATGCTATAAAACGAGAATATGCATTAGAATTGGAGAAATAGAGTTTACTCCTTCTGAACATGAGGAAAATCTAAGGTTTCTCAGATTCTATTGCTGTCTAGGACCTTTGAAGGATAGTTTTCTAACTGCATGTAGGCCAATCGTTGGGGCTCATGGATGCCACATAAAAAAGGACTTTTCCTCGACAATTGCTAGCAGCAATTGGTAGTGATGCTTGTTGGATCCTTAATATAACGTTGGACTTATATGTGAATAATTATGTGTTGTAAACTGTCAAATAAGGTTAAGTCCAATTAAAGTGATCAATTATGTTTTGAATTTTAATTTATCTAATAGGATGTGGGCCTTTATTATGTAGAAACTTAAGGGTAATTTCTATTTCTATAATGGGTTGAAATTGGAATCCAAAAGGTAACAGGAATGTTATCTATAAATTAGGTTATGATCTCCAAATCACACGAGTTCTTATTGTCGTATTTTCTAGTACCACAAAATAGTTTTTTTCTGATATCCCATCGTCAAGAAAGATACCAGAGAGAAATTAAAGGACTCTCTCAAGAATTAGTAAATACGTATTGACCTGGAAGGCCACCCCAAAATCTCTAGGGATTCAAGTACTAGTTTGTCAATATAAATCCAGGTACGCTTCTCCAATTTTATTGTTAATTTATTTCTTAATGATCGCCATAAAGATTTTGGATTTACTAGGTGTTGGTTTTCACCAAAAGTTAAATTGAAACAACCACCCCAACAAGTGGTATCAGAGCAGGATATGGTTGATTATTAGAAAATAATTTGGTTTTAAATAATTCATAGTTTTTCAAGTTTTTTTTCACTAGAATTATTTTTATTTTGATTGTGCGGCGGTTGACAATCTTGAATTGTGATTTTAATGTAATTTGTTTGCTTATATTTTTGGTAAATTTACACTATCCAATTCATTGCTTTTGGTTATATATGAATCCATGAGTTTGCCGAAATCAATAAGCATGATGCACAATCAAGTACACATATTTGCTTTGTTTGTTACGATTAGTTAGCATATGGTTCAAATACACATGATTCCAAGATCACGTGCTTGTCTTGATTGATTGTTGAATTTTGTGAAACTCTTGATATGTTGGCACAGGTCATAATTATGTGGGACCCACATACTTTCCATGGTATAAATTAACTTGATTTCTGGTTGCAGAAAGTTGTTCGTCCTTTTCTTAGTTTGTTTTGTTAGTTTATTCATTCAAGAGTTTTGATTAACAAAATATTTGGTAGGACCTGCATGATATGTAATTTATTAATATGTTAAGAAAATTAGGATTTCTCTAATTTAAGTGAACTCTAATAAAATTAAATAAGATATTTAAATCTTATAAAATCCACAAGATTGGTCCATTAAATATATAGTCTTAAAAGGCATTATGGACTTTAAGAAAATTTTGGGTTTAAATGATAAATTTGGGTCAAATTATGGATATGGACTTTGGTCCAATAAGTCTTGATCCAATTGACTGGTATCATGATGAGATTTGATTGGTTTGACCAGATTTGACTATGTTTTGACCAAAGTTGACCAAAGTTAACTTCGATCAAAATTTTTGTGTAATTTGTGTAATTTTAAATTTGAATATTGATATGATTATATATATTTTGAAATAAATTAATTGAAATAATATGCCACCAAAGTGATCTCTATTGTGGAAATTAATTTATTTTAGAATATAACTAGTTAGATACTTGTAATTTTGCGAATATTAATTGGCCTAAAGGAAGGTCAATGTTTAACAAAATTGCATGTGCATTTGTGGTAATAAACACGTGATAATTATTCGATTTGTTACATGTGAATTATAAATTGGTTCAAAGGAAAATTTATTTTTTGACATGTTATTATTGTCAGTATTTATTACTGTGCCAAGATATCACTTAGAAGTTAATATTTTGTCCAAAGACAAAATATTAATGAAACATCGGTATCTTGAGATGGGTTACCATCATTTGAATTTATTATTATTTTGGTCTATGTTAGTTTGTTTTAATTATTTTATATTTTTTGTTGAATTTAAATGATCTTACAAATATTACTACCAACATCAATAATATTCCTATGCTGAATGGCACAAATTTCAAGTTCTGGAAAGAAAATCTCTTGAAAGTTTTTAGAGTAATGTATCTCGACCTTACGTTAACGGATGATCCTCCCTCATCTTTTATAGATCAGAGTACCTCTGATGAAAAGAGGGATAAAGAAATGTGGGAGAGATCAAATCGTTTATGCCTGATGATCATTAAAAAGGTCGTTCCAGAAGCATTCAGAGGAACAATGTCAGAAAAGACAGTTACCGCTAAAGAGTTCCGTCAGAAAATTGAAAAAAAGGTTAGTCAAGAAAGAAAAGACTAAAATTAATATGTTGTTGACACGTTTAGTTTCAATGATATATAGTGGTAAAGGTAATATCAGAGAGTACATCATGGAGATGTCTCATTTTGTTTTGAAATTAAATGCACTTAAATTGGTACTCTGTGAAGAGTTACTAGTATATTTGATTTTAATATCTCTTCCTACACAGTTTAGTCAGTTTAAAGTGAGTTACAGCTGTCAAAAAGAGACTTGGTCTCTAAATGAGTTCATCTCACACTGTATAGAGGAAGAGAAAAGGTTGAAATAAGATCAGACAGAGTGCTCATCTGGTCTCAACCACTAATAATAAAAACAAGGAACTTAAGAGAAAAAAGGATAAAGAAGCTGCAGGTATAGCACCATAAAAGAATCAACAAAAAAAAATCAGTTGCTCAGGAAAAGAATAGTTGTTTCTTCTGTGGAGCTAAAAGGCATAAAAAAAAATATTGCATCAACTATCACGCTTAGCGTGTTAAAAAAAGTATATATCTTAATTTAGTTTGTTTTGAGGTTAATTTAATTTCGATACCTAGACACACATGGTGGTTAGATTCTGGTGCAACAATTCACATCAGTGTGTCTATGCAGGGTTGTCTGAATTGTCAAAAATCTAATGATAATAAATATATATCTACGTGAGCGATGATAAAACAGTTCAAGTTGAGATAATAGGAGTTTTTATATTATTGTTAAAAATCGGATTTTATTTGAATCTTAATGAAACATTTCTTGTACCATCTTTTCGACGGAATTTGATTTTTATTTCTACTTTGGACAAATTTGATTATTTTTATTCATTTGAAAATGAAAAGTTTAAATTATTTCATGATTCAAAATTGGTTGGTTCTGGTTCTTTAATGCACTAAGATAATCTATATTTAATTGATACAATTGTCTCATTTAATGAATCTCTACATTTGAGTACTAGAGGAGTAGTAATGAAAAAATGAACCAATGAGAATTCGACTGCATTATAGCACAAGAGATTGGGACATATTTCCAAACAGAGAATGAAAAGACTTATATCAAATGAAATTCTCGACTCCTTGAATTTTACAAATTTTGATGATTGTGTTAACTGTATAAAGGAAAAATAAACCAATAAAAGGAGATTTGAAACCAATAGGTCCGTAAACGTCTTAGAACTTATACATACAGATATTTGTGGGTCATTTCCTACATCTGTTTGGAATATGGTTACATATATCTCATTTCTGAAAAATTACAATCATTGGACGTGTTCAAAAATTTTAAAGTTGAAGTTGAGAACTAACTCAACAAAAGAATTAAAAGCGTTAGATCTGATCGTGGCGATGAGTACTATGGTAGATATGACGGTTCAGGTAAATAACGTCCAAAACCATTTACCAAATACCTAGAGGAATGTGGTATCGTCCCACAGTACACTATGCTGGGTTCACTCACTATGAATGGTGTAGTTGAAAGACAAAATAAAATGCTTAAAGACATGATAAGTAGTATGATGTGTCATTCTATCTTACCAGAGTCACTCTGGGGAGAACCACTTAAGACTGCAATATACATCCTTAACAGAGTTTCAACTAAATCAACTATCAAAACCCCTTATGAGATTTGAATAGGGAAGAAACTCAGTTTAATGCATTTACATATCAGGGATGTCTAGTTGAGACAAGATCTTATGGGTCAAATGAAAAGAAACTGAATTCAAGAATGGTTAGTTATTATTTTATTGGATAGTTTGAAAGATTCAGGGATTACAAGTTTTATGATTCCATAACTAAATCGATTTTCGAGACATGAAATGTTTGGTTCTTTGAGGTATCGAATTTGGAATATGCCAATATTCTATTGGTTATAAATGGATATTTAAATGGACATTGGTTTGAGGACGAAATCTATTGACATATTCAATATTCTCACAATGGATATTGGTTTGACATCTTGTCTTTAAAGAATTCATCTCTTTAAAGACGAAATCTCTTCAATGGATATTGGTTTGAAGACGAAATTTATTGGTTATAAATGGATATTTAAAATCAAGAGAGATTCGAAAGGTAATGTGAAAAGATATAAAACTCATCTTGTCGCTAAAAAATTTACACAAAAGAAATGTATCGACTATAAAGAAATCCTCTCTCCAGTCTTTTTGAAAGACTCTTTTAGAATTTTCATAACATTAGTAGTTCATTTCAATCTTGTGTCACACCAGATAGATGTAAAGACAACATTTTTCAATGGTAATATTGATGAGACGATCTATATGGTGCAGTTAGAAAACTTTGTATTGGGAGATCCAAAGCATATGGTTTGCAAATTTAAAAAATTCATCTATGAATTCAAACAAGAGTCTCGACAGTAGTATTTCAAATTTCATCAAGTGATCATCTTATTTGATTTTGAAATGAATTTAGAAGATGATTGTATATACCATAAGTTCTGTGAGAGTACGTATATGTTTCTGAAATTGTATGTTGATGACACTTTGCTTGCTAGTAACGATATAGGTTTATTGCATGAAGTCAAGAGATTTCTAACTAATAATTTTGAGATGAAAGATCTTAGTGATGCATCTATTGTGTTAGGCATACAGATACATCGAAATCGTCTCAAGGTATTTTGGAACAATCGCAAAAGAATTATATTGAAAAGGTTCTTAAAAAATAT